CCCTGAGTCCCCCCAAGGGAAAAGGGCGGCATACAAATAAAGGAAATTCAAATTCAAATTCAAACCAAAAGCCCATCAAAGTTTCCCAATCAAAAATCTCATATCTTGATCCTGTGCATTTTTATATAAAAGTCCAGTTTCATTTAGATGAGTCGGCCTTGCCTCCCACAAGGATTGTAGTTTCAGAAATAAATGCAATTAAAAATATACTTCAAAAGCTAATAAGTTATTATCCCAGCAGGGTTCCTAAGCTTGTTACAGCTGTGTGCCAAGCAGCTGTTTTGTGGGTAAAGCTTTTCCATCCCCATATTTCCAGAGGCTGGAAAAAGTTTTCTCTCCAAAATATCTACAGTTGTTGCACAAACACCCTGCTTTTGGACAGTGGTGAGGAGGGGAAGCTGGCAATTTTAATTGAAATACATAAGCAAAGTACTGATATGAAAAAAAAACAGCTATTGCTTTCTGAGTGCCAATGCTGAAAGTGGACACAAGAATCTTAGCAGACAGAATTCAGCACATCTTTAGAAATATTTGCCCAGCAATATGGTCAACACTGTTCCAGCTTCTCATCCTTAAAGCAGCATTACCTTCCTTGACTCTACCAGCTGATAGTAAAACAGTAAGGGAAAAATTACCTTCTATTTAAAGACAGATGAGCAAATACATTTTGATCCACCGAGAATAAAAATCTGCCTTCATGGTTAAAAGATAAAAGGCTTGCCATGCTAGAATTTTATCTACCCAGCAATTCTATTAACATCTCTTATCCTAAAATTACTCCATATAATCTAGCCCAGATGTTGGTACATACAATGCCAATCTTCTCTGCATTCACATAGTCCTTTCTTTAAGTGGTGTTTTAGTTAATAAGGATCAGCAAAAGCAAACAAACAAAAAAAACAGTCTGGTTTCACATTTTGGCCTTGCTTAAAGTAGGAATCCCCGGTTAGTTACTATGAATGCCCTGAATGGAAGGGAGGCTGTTTAAAGCAGGGGGTCTCCAAACTTGGCAATTTTTAAGACTTGTGGACTCCAACTCCCAGAATTCCTCAGCCAGCCATGCTCAGCCACATTCAGATTCTACTCCTGTGTTTCTCAACCTTGGCAACTTTTAAGTCCTGTGGACTTCAACTCCCAGAATTCCCCAGCCAGCATAGCTGGCTGGGGAATTCTGGAAGTTGAAGTCCACAGCACTTAAAAGTTGCCAAGGTTGAGAAACACTGTTCTACTCCAACCCTAACTTTGAGGCAAAATTCCCTTTCAGCCCAATCTACCACACAGGGTTGTTGTGAGCAAAACTGGGAGGAGGAAGCATTATACTCCATCTTCATCTCCTAAATCAGGGCTATCAAACTCAAGGCCGGGGGCCAGATCTGGACCGTCTATGTGTGTGCTTAGATCCGGCCCGTGGGGCTGCCCTGGAAACAGAAGGACTGGCCTGTGGTACCTCTGCCAGTGAAAATGGAGCTCAGTAGGGCTGCACACCCTGGTCACAAACACACACACACACACACACACACATGACTTCAAACACAACCCTGATGAGGCCCTCAATGAAATAGAGTTTGACACCCCTGTCCTAAATGAAAGACAGGATATTTATCTAATTAAATGAATGCAGGTAGTCTTCGGTTTTCAACCATTTCATGTTTAGTGACCATTTTAAGTTACAACAGCACTGAAAAAATGTGACTTATGACCAGTTTTCACACCCATACGACCACTGCAGCATCCCCATGTTCATAAAGTCAAAATTCAAATGCTCTGCAATTGGCACATATATATGATGTTTGCAGTGTCCTAGGGACACTGATCATCAGTGAGAACAATCAACCAATGAAACAGCTCGCCTTCAGAAGTTGTGGGAACTTCATCGCTGGAAGCTTTCAAGAAGAGACTGGACTGCCATCTGTCAGAAACGGTATATAGCGTCTCCTGCTTGAGCAGGGAGTTGGACTAGATGACCTACAAGGTCCCTTCCAACTCTTGTTATTTTATACATAAAGTGGATCCTTCCGACAAGCAAAATCAATAGGGAAGCCAGATTCACTGAACACCCGTGTTGTTAACTGCAGGGATTCACTTAGCAATTGTGGCAAGAAAGGTTGTAAAATGGGTCAAATCTCCCCTAACAATTCTCTCACTTATCAACGGAAATTTCATGCTCAATCGTGGTCATAAATCGAGGAGTACCTGTAAAGACGTTCCTGTTGAAAGCATTCAAAGTTGTTTTGTGTAGTAGAGTGGAGCATTAACAGCAAATTATGACCACAGGAACAAATCTTAAAATCATTAAGCTTTTGTTAGCGAAAAAGCATCTTGCATTGAATCACCAAACTACAAAAGCCAATGTCATCCAAAAATTTAGCAACAAACCTTTTTGTCTTGGGATGACACTGGTGGGATGTTTGACTATTTAGCTGATGGTATTTGTAATTGTCTCTAGAGGAATATTTATCACCACCTCAGGCATAGTGATGTCACAGCACTGTTCTATACACTTTCATCCCACACATAACGCCTTCCTGAAAAAAATGGGTTTACAACAGCATAAACTTCTCCCTTGTTATTTCACCTAGCAATTGTAAAATGGGAATCTAATTGTTCATTCCCCTTTTAGCTTGTGTGAAGTTAATTCAATCAAGTTTATTGTGACGTGTTTCCAAGGAAATGGATCCAGGATTCTAGTTTAATCTATTGGGTGCACACAAGGGGAATTGCCAAGGGAGACACAGAAAAAACCAGGCACCTTCCTGAACACAGAACCTGGGGTTTTTCAGGAAGCATAATACGAAGTTAGAATAGATCTTAAAGCCATTATGATCTAACAATCCAGGAACCAAATTGCAGCATTTTGTAGTTTTTGCTGCATTGGTTGAAAAACAGTGAAGGATTGCTGTTAAGTAAGAAATCGGTCCCTGAAGTTTAAGAGCATTTATCAAGCTCTAAACATAGTAAGAATGACATAGTTCAGATGCTTTCAAATCAAGCCTATAATCATAACCAACAACTCAAGTGCATAATAATTGTGTACTAGTTAAGTAACATGGTAACACAATGCAATTGCTTCCGACACTTGTCTAAATCTGTAAGGAGGGGGTGGGTGGGTGTAATGCAATCAAAATAAAGGACCAATTAGCTTATGTAAATTAGCACAGGCCAGCTGAACTCAGGCTATGCTTATTTTTAAGATTAGGTTTCCCCTAAAATGTGGCACCCTGTGAGTGGATTATAACATTCATTATCTTCTCAGATAAAGAGTTGCAGCCCACCACGCATTGTGCAACACCTTGATTCCAGAGCAACTGCACATGGCTAGTTGCACTTAAGTCGGAGAGTAACTAGCTTGCATCTGGCACGTTTTCCTCCCCAGCGCTGCTCCAAAAGTCTGCAATCCTACTTTAGGAGTAAAGCTTAATGTGCAGAATTACCTCGCGATCTATTAAAAGCCAGATCGTTTGCGGGGGGGGGGGGAGGGATAGGGGGAACCCTCCAAGAAAAGGTGCGCAGACGGCAGGATCTCATGGCCCCGTTCAAGGCAGGCTGTCCGAAAGCACATTCCGAGTTGGCAGGTCGCGCTAAGCCAGGGTTTTTACTTAAACCACGATTTAATGAATTAACCCACACCCGGCTGCATTCAACAGGAAAGCGATCCCCAAAGAAGCGCAGGAGGGCAACACGCGATCCCAGCCGCCGGGGAAGCTGTCAAACGTCCAGGAGGGGGGAGAAAGGGTGGGAGGCTTCTAGTTTCTCCGCGGAGTTCGCGAAGCGCCCCGTCCCGGCGCAACTTCAGGGGTGGAAAGGGCCGAGATCTGCTTCCCCTTTTCTAATCTCTCATGGGGGGAGACGGGGATCCCCCGGAGGAGACCTTCAGGCACCCCCTGCCCCGCAGCCCGAACCCCCCTTTCCATTGCGCTGCCCTGCCCAGCACCGCGGGAGCCTAAGAAAAAAAACCCCTTCGCTGCTCAACTACGAATCTCGGCGTTTTGTCCATTGGCGCCCATTGAGATCCACGCGTGGGAAGGGGACGGGGGTGGCGACCCACGCGCGTTTGGGCTCTTCCCCGGGCGGCCGGGAGAGAAGCGAAAGGGACGGTTCCTTCCTTCCCTTCCTTCCCCAAACAAAACCCAAGCATCCTCCTTACCACGCAGGCTTGGAAAAACGGGGATTCCCTTCCGAGAAGCCTCTGGCCAGCTTTTCCCCTCGCTTTCCCGGGGCTCGCTGCTGCCTCGCCTCCTCCTCCTCCTCCTCCTCTCCAGAGATCTGTCAAGGCAGAAGTTGGGAGTCGGAGGAAGCTGCTTCCTGCAAACTTTTTTTTCCTCTTCTTTTTGCTCCGCGGCGCTTCCACGCGCAGCAGCTTCGCCCTCCGCCTCCTGCTTTGGTTGTTGTTGGAGGGGGGGGAAACGCCAACGCTTGGGTGCTCAGTTGGACGCCCCAATTGTGGGGGGGGGCGTCCGGGTCGAGCGTCAAGATAGACGCACCGAGTTGTTGCTGTTCCCGGGCTCTTTGGGTTAACCCCCCCCTCCCCACCCTCGTGCTAAGAAAGAAACATTCCCTGCGGGAGGGGGGGAGGGAGGATTATTCGCGGACGGGCCCGTCTATCAGAGCGTCGCGGGCTCCCTATTGGTCGGAAGGCGGGGTTTGGGGGGAGATGATGGACACCGAGAGGCGAAGGAAACGCCTCCTTCCTCTCGCTGGGCTCCCGATTCCTCGCTTCCCTCCGATGAGTCGTCGGAGTGCGATTCGGGGCTGGGAGGCGGTTTCCTCGCCGTCGCTTGGCCGGGCTCTGGCTTGGCGAGAACTTCGGGAGACAAAACTGATCCATTTCGGCTGAAGGCGAATACTTTCCCCTCCAGGCAAGGTTGCCTTCGCTTTTTTTTTTAGAACTCGCAAGCCAAGTTTAGTTTGCTCCCAGTTCTGACGTTAGTGAGATCACTAGTATTAACAGGGAGTATTAAAAACCGCGATCGTCTCCTCCTATCTTTCTAAACTTTAATCGGATTGACTTTGATTCTAGCTTTTGACTCTCGTCTAAGCCAGTGTTTCTCAACCTTGGCAAGTTGAAGATGCCCGGACTTCAACCCCCAGAATTCCCCAGCCAGCATTCGCTGGCTAGGGAATTCTGGGAGTTGAAGTCCGGGCATCTTCAACTTGCCAAGGTTGGAAAACACTGGTCTAAGCCACCCACCCACCCACCCCCGCTTTCCTTAGGACGTCCAAACTTGCCACTTGAAGATAAGTGCATCTGATCAGATAGACTTCTACTGTTGCTAGGGATCACAAGTTAGAGTCCGAAGTGTTTGGAGAGCGACAGGCTGGAGAGATTCGTAACAAACACGCATTAAAAAAAAAAAACACAAGTTATTGAAGTGTTTTAGTTGCAACCCATTCATACAGTCGCTCCTATAAATCATTTTTTGTTTGTTTCTATGTCTTTAACACTCCCCTTAAAAGAAAGTCATCGGCTCTCCCAACTGTTCCTGACATTGGAATTCAAAACGTCTTTGTTTAAGCTGGATCTTGCCTGTGCAGCACAAGATTATGTATGTTTACTGAAGATTAAATTTCACTCTATTCACAGCACTTGCTGGGGAGTGTGCTGGAGGCATTGCTGATTGAACATCAACATCAGGATTGAAAAGGATTGTCATTCCAGCAAAGTTGCGCAAGTGTTCTTCCCCAAACAGGAACTGCATGCAGCTAAACATTCAAACCGTGCACAGATGGGTTTTTTATACGAATGTGCGGTTAAGACCGCAACCATCTACGAAGGGGTTAATTTTGCTGTATTCCGAGAGACACACGCGTACACACGCACACCCATTAAAATTATGAAACGCTTACCTAACGAGAAGAAAATCGAGGAGTGGTTCCAAGCACAAGTGGAACTCCAAAAGTGAATCCTTTAGGAAGGATTGCATACTTTTAATTGCATTTGGGCTCTTCCCTTTCAGTCCCTCCCCCTCATTAAGAAATCAAGGACAAACAAGATTGCTAAAGGCTGATTTGCCACCACAGGCCCTCCCCTGATTCATGACCATCTGGAGATGAACAAGGACTCTTCGGTTTGCCACTACTGAAGTCCTCCAAAAGCCTCTCGTTATGTCTGAGTAAGAATGTCCTCTAGAACAAAGCCCACCATCCTTTCAAGACCTCGGGGACCATTAAATTCATAATTTTAAATCCCGCAGACCACCAATATGATTTTTTTAAAAAGATAAATAGTATTTAGTGCAATATAAAAGTGCAAATAATTTTTCTGTGGACCACCAAAACTTTCTCACGGACCGCCAGGGGACCCACCACTGGTTGATGACCACTGCTCTAGAAATAGCATTTGGAAACTCGTAGTGGGCCAAAGGGAAGAGGAGGTGTGAAGTATACTGTAGAGCAACTCCTCATTTCTCTCCATCCAAATACTCCTGCAGGATTCCACCACCGCTGCCGTCATCACCCCATCCAAATGCTCTTCTGGGCTTCCTGTTGCAACACTACTACTGTAGTTAGTTAGCAACTTCGAGTTCAGAAACGATGAATAGGACTGTACAACTTCAGACTAGATCAAATGTCATCCAGAAAAAATAGGGGCAAATATTTTTGGACACTTCCCTGGGTAAACACTTCTGCAACTAGCAGCCAGTAATGTAAATTGTATATAACGGGTTTTTCCTTGACATGCTGCGTTTTGTTTGCAAAGAGGGACGAGATTTATTTGGTTGGTCAAAGGGGGCAGGGGAGAGACAGCATTCCAACCCACAGTATGAACTCAGATTAAACACTGTCACCTAATTGTCCTGTTCCACCAGACCAAAATCTCAAGGAGAAGTCTGTGCAGGACGTGAAAGTAAACCTCCAGAGTTCAGGTGGCCAGTCTTGTAGGTTTCGTTGGTACAATCCCTTGAAGGTTAGCTTATTCATAGTTGACCAACTGAGATATTGACTCCTTGTACCGAAGAGTCCTTGGTGGGCTCTGAGCTAGCTTGTTTTCTTGCGGACATTTCATTACCCTAACTAGGTAATAGCATCAGGGCTCCTTGTACTTCCCCCTGTAGATACACCATTTTAAGGTACTGTGTTTCCCCGAAAATAAGACATTTTCTTTTGACCCCAGAAATAAGCACTTGGCCTTATTTTCGGAGAGGTCTTATTATTTCTGAGGGTTCCACCACAAATGCGCGCACAACAAAAGCGCGCCTGACTAAACCGCGGTGACTAAAGCACGGTGACAAAACCGCGCGACGAATGAGCGACGAATTAGCCCTAAAGCGCGCCGACAAAAGCGCGCTGACAGAAGCGCGCTGTAACGTAACCCTAAACCTAACCCTAAACCTAACCCTAAACCTAACCATAAGCCTAACCATAAATCTTACCTTAAATTAAATCGCGCTTCTGTCGGCGCGCTGTTGTCGGCGCGCTGTTGTCAGCGCTTTTTTACATCGCGGTTTTAGCGCCGCGGTGTTGTTGGCGCGCTTATGACATTCGCGCTTTTGTCGGGTCACGTTTCTGAGATGCAGGAGGCGGTGAGTGTAGTCACCTCATTGCTGCCGCTGTGTTGCAATATTTTCGGGGAGTGTTTATTTTCGGGGGAGGAGTTATTTTAGCGCTTGTCCTCAAAAGCCCAATTGGGCTTATTATCCGGGCAGGGTCTTATTTTCAGGGAAACATGGTATGTATCAGGAGACAATCTCCAAATGGAGATTGGATCTTAAATATTTCAGGCCCATTTCAATTTCCTCTTTATAGAAAGATAGAAAGGATGGGGTGAAATGTTTTCAGTGCATCTCATGGTTAAATAAGCATTTATCCAGTGAAAAATGATAACCTTTCAAATAGCAATCACACTTAGACTTATATATCGCTTCACAGTGCTTTACAGCTCTCCCTAAGCAGTTTACACTGTCAACACATTGCCCCCAACAACCTGGGTCCTCATTTTCCTGACCTCGGAAGGATGAAAGGCTGAGTCGACCTTGAGCCGGTGAGACGGAGCTGCTGGCAGCTGGCAGTCAGCAGAAGTAGCCTGCAGTACTGCATTCTAACCACTGCGCCACCACAGCTCTTAATCTAACCATGTTTCTATTTCCAAGACATACATGCAGAAAGTAATATGGAGGGGGGGAAATCCATATTGTCAGGGGCAGCTTATTCTTTTTCCTCCCCTCCTGGTTAGTTTAAAATCAGCCCTTTCCTATTTTAAGTGATATTTGACAATAAAGTGCAAATGCTAAAATTGCTTTTGATTTCTCTGCCTTTTGCTCTGCCCTGGCAGTTTCCCTCTTTGTGCCAGTCGGATGACTTTGACCATCCCAATTAAGCCATCCAGATACAGCCAGTCCTGAGCATTCTCCCCAGAAAGGAACAAGTCATACCACAAGCAGAAAGTTCCTGGGCAAGTTACCCAGGTGGGAAAACTGTAAAGAGCTAGACATCAGGATGGGCCTCAACACAAATTGTAACTCTAGAAGGAAGACTCAACATTAAATGAGCACTGAAAAAAAGAAGTGATTTTCTGAAACAGTGATCATCGCCCAAATACCCTCGAAGTCAAATAAGAATACAAGCCAAAATTCTTTCTTTTAGTAGAGAGGGGGAGTCTTCTGCAGCTAATCATTTCCAAGCTGACTCATGTTAAGAGAATGACTCACTTTATTTTGCAACAATGAAGGAGCATGCTGGTCAGGAGTAATGCTGTCTTGCAAATAGGAATTTTCACTGCCAAGCAGATTCCAGAATGAGTTCTCTTTTTTTTTTCATCCTAGTAAAATAGCAAATTAAATCCTAAGCCTGTTTTAACTTGTATAGCCATATCATTTAACAACAAATTAATTCATTATATATTACATAATATACAATAGGATAGATATACCCACAGAGACACATACTCTGTGTGTGTGCGTGTGTTTGTGTGTATCAGTGGTGGGTTGCTAATTTTTTTTACTACCCGTTCAGGTGCGCTCCCTCATGCGCATCCGGGTGGGTGGGTGGAGCCTTCCACCGCCGCTACTACCGGTTCACCCGATCCGGGTCGAACCGGGAGCAACCAACCTCTGGTGTGTATATGTCTTTGTATATAGGAAGTATAAGTGTGGACCAGCCATTCAGATTTTTGTAGTCCATGTCTAGTGTTCCTAATGTATTTAGAATTTAATAGTGTGTTTTTTAACTTTGTGATTGGAACAGGGCAGAGGTGGGTTCCTACCAGTTCGCACCTATTCGGTAGAACCAGTTCGTCAAATCTACCGAACCGGTTAGAAGAGGTTCCACCAGTGGAC